ACCTATCCTTGATCTGTTTGGCCGCCTTGTGAGCGCAGAGGGAAGAGCAGGAGAGAAGAAGCAGGTGAGAACTGCAGAGCCAGGGAGGGGGGGCAGCATGCGGGACCCCCCGGGCACAGCCCCCTGCAGCCCGTGGCACAGCAGCACACAGCGTGTCCCTGCATCCCACAGCGTGTCCCTGCATCCCACAGCATCCCACAGCATCCCACAGCATCCCAGAGCATCCCATAGAGTCCCTGCATCCCTGAGCATCCCACAGCGTGTCCCTGCATCCCACAGCATCCCAGAGCATCCCACAGCATCCCACAGCGTGTCCCTGCATCCCAGAGCATCCCACAGCATCCCACAGCATGTCCCTGCATCCCACAGTGTGTCCCTGCATCCCACAGCATCCCACAGCATCCCACAGCATCCCACAGCGTGTCCCTGCATCCCAGAGTGTGTCCCTGCATCCCACAGCATCCCAGAGCATCCCAGAGCATACCACAGCATGTCCCTGCATCCCACAGCATCCCACAGCATCCCACAGCATGTCCCTGCATCCCAGAGCATCCCAGAGCATCCCTGTATCCCACAGCACCCCACAGCATCCCATAGAGTCCCTGCATCCCAGAGCATCCCACAGCGTGTCCCTGCATCCCACAGCATCCCACAGCACCCCAGAGAGTCCCTGCATCCCACAGCATCCCAGAGCATCCCACAGCATGTCCCTGCATCCCACAGCATCCCACAGCATCCCTGTATCCCAGAGCATCCCAGAGCATCCCACAACATTCCAGAGAATCCCACAGCATCCCACAGAGTCCCTGCATCCCACAGCATCCCACAGCATCCCACAGAGTCCCTGCATCCCACAGCATCCCACAGCATCCCTATGTCCCATAGCATCCCACAGCATCCCTGTATCCCACAGCATCCCACGGCACCCCACAGCACCCCTGCATCCCAGAGCATCCCACAGTATCCCACAGCGTGCCTGCATCCCATGGCACAGCATCCCACAGTATCCCACAGCACCCCTGTATCCCACAGCATCCCACAGCATCCCATAGCAACCCTACATCCCACAGCACATAATCCCTGTATCCCATGGTGGAACCCCATGGCACAGCATCCCTGTATCCCACAGCATCCCTGTATCCCATAGTACAGCACCCCTGCATCCCATGGTGGAACCCCATGGCACAGCATCCCTGCATCCCACAGCACAGCATCCCTGCACCCCCCCGGTGCCCCCCTGGCACACATCCCAGTGCCCCCGTGTCCCTGCCAGGGCACCACTTTGGGGTCCCCCATGCTCCCCACGCTGCCCCACAGCCCCACAGCCAGCCTGGCACAGACAGAAAGGGGGGTGCCCATCCCAGGGGGTGCCCATCCCAGGGGGTGCCCATCCCGGGGGGGGGCATCAACCAGCCAGCCTGGGAGCCTGGGGGGGGTGTCAGGACCCTGCCCAGCGCAGGGGGCAGCCGGGCAGGGCCCCCCACCTGGGAGAAGTCGTGGTGGTTGGCAGCGCCCAGGGCCTGGTTGGCCGCCTCCAGCAGCTCCTCCGAGCTCTCCAGGGCCTTGGAACACGCGGCGAGCTGGGCCTGGGAACGGGCAGGGAGCAGGGAACAGGGAACAGGGAACAGGGAAGGGGCAGGAGGTGGGTGAGGGTGCCCACAGGGGGGCACGGGGGGGCACGGGGGGCACAGTGCCCACCTGCAGCTCGTAGGTGCGGCTGGCGCGCTCCTGCTTGATCTTCATCACCATGTCCTCCTTGAGCTCGTCCAGCAGCGAGTACAGGGACTGGAACTCGGCCTCCAGGTCCTCCTGTGCCCGCGCTGAGTTGGCCTGGGCACAACCCCCCCCGTCCGGGGCATCAGCAAGGGGACACCCCCCCCGGGGGGCCCACAGGGGGCACGGAGGTGCCATCCCCCACAGGGGACGGGGAAGTCCCATCCCATCCCAGGGTGTCCACAGGGGACAGGGAGGTCCCACCCCACCCAGAGGGTGCCCAGGGGGCATGGAGGTCCCATCCCATACCAGGGGTCCACAGGGGGCAGGGAGGTCCCATCCTACCCAGGGGGGACAGAGGTCCCACCCCAGGGGGTCCCCAAGGGGCAGGGAGGTCCCACTCCACCTGGAGGGTCCACAGAGGGCACAGAGGTGCCATCACACCCAGAGGGGTGCCCAGGGGGTACAGAGGTCCCATTTCAGCCCTGGGGGTACCCAGGGGACAGGGAAGTCCCATCCCATATCCGGGGGTCCACAGGGGGCAGGGAGGTCCCACCCAGGGGGGTACCCAGGGGACAGGGAGGTCACAGCTGGGGGTCCCCAAGGGACAGGGAGGTCACATCCCACCCAGGGGGGCATCCAGGGGGTACGGAGGTTCCAACCCACACAGGAGGTCCCCAGGGGGCACAGAAGTGCCATCCCATACCAGGGGGTCCACAGGGGGCAGGGAAGTCCCACCCAGGGGGTCCCCAGGGGACAGGGAGGTCCCAACCCACCCTGAGAGGTACCCAGGGGGCACGGGTCCCACCCCAGGGCATCCCCAAGGGGCAGGGAGGGCCCATCCCACCCAGGGGGGTACTCAGGGAGCACAGAGGTCCCACTCGGGGGTCTCCAGGGGACAAGGAGGTCCCATCCCACCCAGGGGGGTCCCCTCCCTCCCCAGGTACCTCCACATTCTGGATCATCTGCTTGAGGGAGTAGATGAAGTTCTGGATCTCCTCATTCTTCACGGCGAGGGTGGTGATGATCTTCCGCAGAGACTCCTGCC